AAAAAAAAAAAATTTGTACAGCTTACGGATCTTTGTAAAGGACGATCCATAATTATATCATTGTCGTTAATTGGTGGACTACTTTTAAGTTTTTTTCACCATCTTTATCGGCATTTATACACAAATATCATCATTTCATTTTGTGGTTTTTTTTTTTGTAGTTTTTTTCTATCTCGACCTCAAGTCTCCTTCAAACCCTAACTCAACATAACAATATATTAACGCAAATTTTCTCCAAAAAAATATATACTACTATATTTTAAGTTTTTAACGCAAATAAATTCCTTTAAAAAAAAGAGTTTAGTCGAGTCATTAATTGAATCACAACTACTTCCATAAAACCTTAAATGCCTAAGCCAACTACACAGTCTCTATAAAACATAGCCTTTAGTTTTCTTCACCACACCACACTACATTTTAATCTCACACACATAAAAAAATATTGCTAATATATTCTTGTGAGATCATCACAAGTCAAGAAAAGACACATTGATCTCATTTCATCACCATGAAGATAAAGATAATAAGCAAAACACATGCGAAACCAAACAAGCCGATACTAGGGAAGAAACAATACCAACTCACCACATTTGATCTTCCTTACCTTGCTTTCTATTACAACCAGAAGTTTCTTCTCTACAAGTTCAAGAACCTTCTAGATCTCGAGGAACCCACGTTCCAAAACGACGTCGTTGAGAAGCTCAAGGATGGTTTGGGTTTGGTTCTTGAAGATTTCTATCAGCTCGCCGGTAAGCTAGCCAAAGACGACGAAGGAGTCTTCCGTGTTGAGTACGACTCCGACGACGGAGAGATCAACGGCGTCGAGTTCTCCGCCGCCGATGCAGCTGACGTCAGCGTCGATGATCTGACGGCTGATGACGGGACAGCTAAGTTCAAGGATTTGGTTCCGTACAATGGGATCTTGAACTTGGAAGGACTTAAGAGGCCTCTACTTGCTGTCCAGGTAATTATTTAAATATTTATACGTTATTATTCTACTTCCATATGTTAGTATTTTTGTCGTATAATCTTTGTTTGTTTTATTCACACGTTAAATAAAATAGAAATATATATTGAAAACGTATTGACAAAAAGAAATAGTATACAACTATAGGTAGCTACTAGCTAGTATTGATTTTCCGGGTCTGAATGATCTCATAGATATCTGGTTATGTAGCAATCTCTATGTGGTTATGTTTGTCGAATCTTGATGGATGTTATGTTACACTTTAATGTGATTAATAATTGTATGTTTTAAAAAGCGTTTACAAGCGACTTTTAAAAATTAAGAATGCAGGGTACGTAGTTCAATAAATTTATAGACTTCCTATACCATTGAAAACTCTATTAGCTCCAAAGAAAGACAAAAGTGATTATCAAAGTAAAGGTAACTAAAAAAAAGTATAAAAAAAAGTAGAAATGCATGTTTCCAGCAAGATAAAGAGAACACGTCCATAAGGAAATGTAAATTGACATTAATAATTTTATCTAAACAGAAGTTAGATTTATATGGAAAAATAGGGAAAAAAAACTATTAGCTCTTCTTTAAGTACTGTTTAGAGATTAAAGGTTAGATTTGAGAAGATCGGTATTCAAATGCTTTTACTTCTCGTTTTGTTGAATGTGTAATTCTTATGTAAAAGAAAAAAAATATATGAATTTTACTGGCACAACCATTAATATAGCATTAAATGATTGACAAATAACATCTTTATAAATGGTAACTGGTACGTACCGGCCTTGTAGGCATGCACCAGAATAAGTACAACAAATAAATAGCTGAAATTTGTAGGTTAAGTAATTTAATACTATTACACATTGGCATTGCATAGTTTCAGTACTTTCTTTCAATCAAATCCTCAATAAATATTGGAAGTCAACTTTAGCCACCAATGCATGTTAACTCATATGTATGAGTTTCATATTCATTTGTTTGATCGATCCACGTTCAATAGAACTCTAGCGTATATAAGAAACTGAGATAAGAGATAAAGGAAAACTGATTTATAATACAATGAAATTTCATATGTATTTTTTTTCTTCAAAAACTAATTTCAACTTTTGAATCATGTGGTGGATAATTATTCTATATGTTTATACGAATTTGAATCTATATATTTGATACAAGAACAATACTAGTGCAAATCATTAATTAAACTAGAAGATACACATTTATACAACAAAGTAGTGGATACTTCAACACATTATTCTTAAAACGTATTTGTGACAACAATATATGTTTGCTAAACACAGACATATAAAATGTGGGAGTAGACACACGCACACTCTTTTCGAAAATTAAATACCTCACAAAAAATTATGTCGACCTTAGGGTTAGGGATGATATGTACATAATACGTATAATGTGCATATATACACATACGTAACTATATATTATTATTTTTTGTCGTCGTACACATACGTAACTATATGTATACAATACTTTGATTTTTCTTCGGATCCTCATTTAGCTTCTCTGAAATGTGCATTTAATGAAAAGTCTCTAGAAAAACAGGTGTGGTCGTTGGAGTGGTCACTGTTTCTGTTGCTTTTCTTAGTTGGTCTCGAAACTATCGTCAAATCATAAAATACTCCTACCAAAACTTCAATTAATTTTTTCGAATTACTACCTACAGACTAGTATTTTTTTTTTTTTTTCAAAATTTCTCAAACCATTATTTTGTTTCGCTAACAGGTGACAAAGCTTAAAGATGGGCTTGCAATGGGCCTAGCTTTTAACCATGCAGTCCTGGACGGAACTGCTACATGGCACTTCATGAGTTCATGGGCCGAGATCTGCCGTGGAGCCCAATCAATCTCGGTCCAACCATTCCTCGACCGATCCAAGGCGCGTGACACGCGCGTGAAGCTTGACCTCACTTCCGTTAAGGACCCAAACGCCTCATCCAACGGTGGCGATGCCACGGCTGAACCACCACATCTCGTGGAGAAGATCTTCAAGTTTTCGGACTCCGCAATCCACACGATCAAGTCAAGAGCCAATTCGGTCATCCCATTGGACGGCTCAAAACCTTTCTCCACTTTCCAGTCACTTACTTCACACATTTGGCGCCATGTCACTCTCGCGCGTGGGCTTAAACCCGAAGACATCACTGTCTTTACCGTCTTCGCCGATTGTCGCCGCCGCGTTGATCCTCCAATGCCGGAAGAGTATTTCGGAAACTGTATTCAGGCGATCTTTACGGGTACCGCAGCGGGGCTTCTGGCCGCGCACGGGCCGGAATTCGGAGCTTCGGTGATCCAAAAAGCGATCGTTGCACACGACGCGCGTGCGATCGACGCGCGTAACGAAGAGTGGGAAAAATCGCCGAAGATATTTCAGTTCAAAGACGCTGGAGTGAACTGCGTGGCGGTTGGGAGTTCGCCGAGGTTTAAGGTCTACGAGGTGGATTTCGGGTGGGGAAAACCCGAAACCGTTAGGAGCGGGTCGAACAATCGGTTTAATGGGATGATGTATCTGTACCAAGGAAAAGCTGGAGGTATAAGCATCGATGTGGAGATCACTCTTGAAGCTTCTGTCATGGAGAAGCTCGAGAAGAACAAAGAGTTTTTACTCGTCGAAGATGGTAAGAAGATCAGCAATGGCAATGGTAAGGTTAATGGGTTTGTTTGAGTCAATCAATGTGGTTAATTAATCAAACTCTTGGGTTAATTAGCTGATTAAGTAGAGGGTTTTATGGATTGTTAAGTATGGTACTAATAATAATCAGCTGAAATGCTGGCGTGTGAATTGTCGTCGTTAATTGAGTATTATGCATGTGTAGTAGTGTCTTTGGTTTGGGACTTTTGGAGTGTTTGGACCATGTTATTTAAGTGATTCCCTTGTTTAAAATTAAAATGCACTATGTTATCCAATTTTATTGATTTTTAATTTTCTACATTTAACCTCAAGAAGTTAAGAATTAATTTGGTCAAATGGCAATGAAAAAGGTTTTTTTTTTTTTGTTAAACCTTTCATATTTCATATTTTGTTTTAACTCAATTTAGTAAAAATCGTTCAACTTATGTTTTAATCTAATGTTGTTCATTAGAGAAAGGAATTATATTGTCATTCCTTTTTCTTTTTATCTAATGCAAATATCAAAAAGTTGTGAATGGCAAATCTTTTAACAGTTTTGTTTTTTCTTGTGAACGGATCCATTAAACCGTTTTCTCAAATCGAATTTCTGTACCGGTCTAAGCCTTGTTTTTAATTTATTTTTATTTAATCACTCGTAAACCCTAACCGGAACAAGCTCCCTTTCTTTCTGCCGTCCTCATTTTTCG